TGAAGGCAACTGTCGAGCGACAGTTGACGCGGGAAGCTAACAAGGCGTACAAGTCCGACGTCAAGTCGTTCTGCCGCTGGTTAGTGTCCCTAATGGACAACTTCATGTTGTTCGAGTCGCAATTAGTTGCGATGGATCCAAAGCCGGAGCCGAATCGGCCGCGGCAATATGGCGAAAAACCACGGCGCCAATTACCACCGAAGAAAGCGGTTAGCGGGGCGCCAGCCAGAGCCCCGGCGATGACCGCTACAAACGCCCCGTATGCGAGGGGTTGTTTAAAGTGTGGTAGTGAAGACCACAAGGTGTTGAAGTGCCCGAAGTGCCAGCCCGGAGAAGCACAGCGACTCCTGGACCAGCGGTTCAAGAAACCGCATGTCGCTGCTGTGGCCGCGACCGGCAAGAAGACCAAGTTTATTGGCGCAGCCGTGGCTGCGAACGATGTGGTCGAAGCGCGCGCTCATCGCACCTTGGATTGCGACATCAATGGCCTCAAGGCGACGACACTACTCGACAGTGGTGCTGACCAATCAGTGTTGTCGCCGACGTTTTTATCACGTCTGGAAGAAACGGGCAATTTTACGTCGCCGGTGCGACAGTTGGACGACGCGATGGAATTGGGCGGGTTCATGGAAGGCATGAAGCTCGATGTGGACCGTGACGTCAAGTTACGTCTGACCTTTGAAACGGCCGAAGGAACGCTGGTGATCGCGAACCTCAAGTGTTGGGTGGCGGCGGCGCCACTCCAAGACGGCCTGGGTGACCTAATCGTGAGTCGCGACGTGATGGCGAAGCTCGGGTATTGTCCCCGTTCGTTGCTGCTGAGTGCGCGGCGAGCGCAAAGCGTGTACGACCTGGACCAGTTGGGCGGCAAGGACACGCCGCTAATGGCCGCCATGAAGGTGGTCGAAGGGATGGAAAAACTACCATCATCGCATAAAGAAGCGTCGCTGTATCCCGAGGAAGAACAAGCATGTTTTCATCAAGTGACTCCTGATTGGTCGAAAGAAAACGACCAAGCTGTGGTGCGCGTGAAGCTGAAGGACAAGGTCAGCGAATGTCGTGCCGCGGGATGCGACGAGGATTTCGCTACGGCGCTGTTTTTCGCTTTCGTTGGGCCGAGATCCGCCGGTGGACGTGGTGCCGCTACGTGTGACGCTCAAGGCTGGCGCTGAACCGGTGCGGTGTAAGGCGCGCCGCTATTCGAAGGAGCAGCGGGACTTTATGGCAAAGCACGTTGCAGAGCTACAGGCGGCGGGGTTATGTTACCGCAATCCCCAGTCAAAATGGTGCTCGGCACCATTAATCGTCAAGAAGCCCGAAGCGAACGATTTTCGCATGACTGAGGACGTCCGTCCAGTGAACGCACAGACGGAGCGCATCATTTGGCCGATGCCGATGCTGGAGGTGATTTTGGATCACCTGGCAGGTACCAGTGTGTTCTTTACCCTCGACTATTTAAAGGGTTATTGGCAGTTTGCGCTGGACGAAGCGTCGCAAGAAATGTTTTCGTTCCTGACCGACACTGGCGTGTACACGCCGACGCGAGTGCTCATGGGGGGTACCGACAGCGTGGCGTACTGCCAATCGTCGGTTCAAGAAATGTTCCAAGACGAGCTCTACCGCTCGTTGTTCATCTGGTTGGACGATTTGTTGGGCTACGACAAATCCAAGGAGGGGTTGTTGGCCGCGCTCCAACGCGTCCTGGCCATCTGTGAGTCGCGCGGACTCAAGCTGAACCCGAAGAAGTGTCGGTTCTTTGAAACCGAAGCGCGCTGGTGTGGCCGAATATTGTCGTCCGAAGGAGTCAAGCACGACCCGGAACGCATCAAGGTGTTGCAAGATCTGAAGATGCCGGTGACCGGGCAAGATCGGCAGCAATTCATATGTGCCATGAATTGGATGCGCATGTCGATCCCGAAGTACAATGTCATTGTACAGCCGATTACCGATCTGCTGGAGTCGGTGTACAAGGCGGCTGGTGGACGCACTCGACAGAAGTTGGCCAAAGTTGTGTTGGCCGACGTGGGATGGAACGCTGAGCATGTAGCGTGCCTCACAAGTTGCAAGGATGCCCTGGGCCATGTGGTGACCCTCGCCCATCCAAAGCCGGAGCGGCTTATTTGTGTGTTCGCCGACGCCAGCGATTTGCATTGGGGCGGCGTAGTGACTCAAATTCCTCACGATCAGGTGGATCGTGAATTGGACGCGCAAGACCATGAGCCGCTGATGTTTCTGAGCGGCACATTTTCTGGCGCGGCGCAACGATGGGCAATCGTCGAGAAGGAGGCGTTCTCGATTGTGGAGTGTCTGAAGCGTGCAGACTACCTGCTCCACAAGCCCGGTGGATTTGCGTTGTTCACTGACCACGCAAACCTCAAGTTCATTTTCAACCCGGCCAGTGTGAACGCCGCGATCCCTAAGTACACGGCAGCGAAACTCGATCGCTGGGCGCTACTACTCATGGGGTACGATTACACCATTTATGACACCTCTGGTGATGTCAAGTGTGGGCGGATTTGTTGTCCCGATGGGGAACAAATTCCAATCTTATATACCCCATCGTGCACGTGCCGTTGCAGATTTCGCCGTTGCGAAATGGCGAATTCATTTGGCCAACCTTGGCCAAGATCGTGGATACTCAAGTCCAAGCCGTTGGAAACGGAGAATTTCCTGTCGCCGACCTGGTGGAACACCAGGTGGAAGTGGGCGACAACGACGTGCCGGTGCTCAAGACCGCCACTGGAGCGGTGTGGATTCCGACGTCTGCCAGTGACCTGCAGATGCGGTTGTGTGTGGTCGCGCATTTTGGTGTGGGGGACACCGTGGGATTAACGCGACGAAGCAGACCCTGGTGGATCGATTTTGGTGGTCCGACATTGCCTCGGACGTGTCGTACTTTGTGGGCCGTTGTTTGCATTGTGCCAGTACGGGTGGTCATGTTTTGCGCCCGTTTGGTGCAACGGCGCATGCCACAAAGCCCAATGAAATCCTTCATTGGGGGGCTACATCCTTGTGGCCAAGGATGATTTTAGCCAGTTCAAGTGGTTGTGGGAATCCTACGTAGCGAACGCGCAAGTTGGCACATCATCATTTTACCACGGCCATATGTCCGTGGGCGAATGGAACCATCTAAAGTGCGATGAAAACGACCCTCAAGGCGTTCCGTGCACTCCTGTCCGAGTGGTTGATGCAGCCAGACCAGTGGCGGCTGATTGTCCCAGTGGTGATGTTAGTCCTCAACCAAAGTCCGTCCGACACACTCGGTGGTGTGGCACCGAATACTGCCATGACGGGTATCCGAGCGATGTCGCCCTTGGACCGCATTCTATTTCCGGCGGCGACAAAAGTTACAACGTTACACGACTTGCTCTCGTGGCGAAATGATGACATGGTGGCGATGGAAGCCACCTTAGACAATATGCATGCGACGGTGTTGGACTCTGCGACAAGAAAGCGTCAGAAAACCGTGAAAGAAGATCGAAGAAAATAGGTGCGGAAATGGCCCAGTTCGATGTGGACGATTTTGTGCTTTATATACACGTGTGGTCGATTTCGCACTCAAAGCTGAGTGTTACATGGCGTGGACCAGCTCAAGTCGTCAAGACAACATCCGACTGGATTTTTGAAATCCAAAATTTGGTGACGGGGGTGGTCCGTGAAGCCCACAGCAGTCATCTCAAGTTTTATGCCAACGACGCCTTGGATGTGACGGAAGAACTGCTGCGCCACATTGCGCACAACGCCGACGGCCATGTGGTCGATCAGTTCCTCGACTGCCGCTACAACGATCGAATGGCCGCTTTTGAAGTGTGTGTGCGCTGGCGCGGCCTACATGCAATTGAAGACTCGTGGGAGCCGGCGGCCAATTTGTTGGAAGACATCCCAACTGAGTTCAAGCGCTACATGCGCTCAAACAAGGCCGATCCCCAAGTCAAGGCGATGGCAGCTGCGTTGGCCGTGACGCAATCGTTGAGAGGGATTGTTGCGAATTTGCCATTCGCAGAACCCCTGAACCCCTCCCAAGAAGGTATCCAAGTGTTCGATTAGGTTGGATATCCTGTGTGCGATCGTATTCGCTAGTTAGATTATTGGCTGTCCAGCAGCTGTCTGAATAGCTTAGGGTTAAGCCCCAGTGACTTTTGCCACTGGGGGGAATTCACTTTGTGATTTGCCTTTGGATCGGACTTCGCAAGGTCCATCAAGTTGAGACGCAACAGGCTCCCAACTTGTATTCTACGGATACAGCAAACGCTCCAGAACACACGTGATGTCCGCTCGAGGTCCACGCAAACCGATACGATACTGTAGGCCCATGTGCAACAATGAGCACGTTGTATCGTTTTGGAACGAAAGACAACCCTCGTATTGAAATCCAGAACGAGGTACGTGGTTAGCATTATACTTATATACAAATATCAATACTAATACTGTACAGTCTTTATTGCACAGTCACGACATGTCATTATTGTCAAAGACACAGAAGTACCGTGCGAATAAGAAACAACGCTTCAGCGAGAAAGACCCTGGGAAAAGTGATGCAGCGACTGTCGCCGACATAGCGCAAGTCCATGTACAAAGTGGTGCGGCGAGTGTCAACAGGGATTCCAACATGGAAGGTACTTTGCTTATGTAATCTCCTCACAGCTCATCTTCTATCATGACACTGACATGGATGATGAAGTATTGCAATTGCGAGCAGAAGTCACCGCCGTCCAATCCGTGGTGGGTGGTGAAATCGAGCGCTTGCGTAGTGATCTCGCCGTCGTGAAGTCCATGGTCGCTGGGTTGCTAGTTGTATTGACCAGTATGAAGCGGTCAATGGGGCAGCCCGTCATCATTACTATGGAGTCAAGATTCAGTCAAAATGGTATTCCCCAATTGTAGACAAGGCGACGCCAACATCGATCTGAGCTCCTCAGCGCTCGGCGAAGTGAAGACCTTTGATCTGGATGACAACTGCATCGACCTGTGCGACGGCAAGGGCCATGACTTGTCAGTGAATCCCAACGTTGGCCACGGTTATGAAGAGATCAGCGAATGCGTGTACTGATGTTCCAAGCGGTGGGGGGAATTAACACCATGCACATGCACCGGTACGTACTTGAACTTGGTATAACGATCTCGAAGTTGATCTAACGTATTTGATCACAAACCAATGTAGAATAATGTGGCGACAACTGCGAGAATCGTACGTGCGTCGTGGAATGCTCCGAGTCCGTGTGTACCGTCCCAGGAGACTGTGGAAACAAGAGACTGCAACCGGCGATTCGGCCTCGGTTCGAAGTCTTCACGACTCTCGACGGACGTGTAAGGAGATTGCACATAGTCGACCCAGTGTATGCGGATCTCCTCCTCGAGTACGTCGGAGAAAGTGCTAATTGAAAGGATTAAGAACGAACGACTCCGAGCACAGCACGGCGAAAGTGGCGACGACGCGATGTACATAGTCCAAGCAGCACCGAATCGTTTCATCGATGCGTGCCGTATGGGAAATGTATCTCGATTCATTAACCTCTCCTGCTCACCCAATGCTCGAATGGAGCGGTCGAAAGTTAGTGACGCCATCCGCATTAGAATTCACGGCCGACGTCCACTGCAAAGTGGTGAAGAAGTAACGTACGCGTATGACATGCTTACGAACGACCACGCATCATTTCAGTGCAAGTGCGCTAGTCTCACGTGCCACGGAACGATAGCTGCTACAGTACGTGCAAAACACAACATCGTGACTTAGAAGGAAGAACTATGGATGTCGAGACTGCACTCGACAGCGATTGGGGTGATGTCGAATCCCCTGTGGATACCCAAGTTGTGTACATGTCGCCGTCAACGGATTGTCAAATGCTCCATACAAACATCGAAAACATGTTGCAATTTCACGGGTGCCTCAGCGACAAACTCCAGCGCCTGGGGCTAGTTCAAGGAACATAAGCGACGACGAATGGGCATTGTATCTTTTAAGGCATTGACTGCTTTGTTGAAGGCATGCTGCAGCACGTGGTCGTGGATAAACGCAGCAATGTGAAGGACCCACTACCCATTACGCCAATGAACACACGATTCCGCGCACTGAGTCAGAACACCCTGTTCTGATAGAGAACATCCCCACTGCCCTGTCAGTCAGGTAGCAGCGTCTGCTAGCTGTGTAGGAGGTTTTTGTGCCTTCTAGAGGCTTTTCCTCAGAGTAGAAGTCAGCGCAGACATTTGGTCACGGAACATCATTGGATGTCGTGATCAATCATAGTTAGTTTTGATTGGCTGGTTCTTTCCAGTCAGAAGTAATTCACTTCCAGTTATTCCTTCTGCCTGCCAAGTGCCTGTTCCTGCCTACTGCCCTTCCAACTCACTGCAAGCTGCTGCGCTGGAGGGTGACACCATTTAGATGTATGACACTCAACCCCTAGTCCGTGAAAACTTGCTTGCTGGCGTGGGCAACCAAGGCTCAGTGGAAGCCTTATTTCGAGCAAGAAACCAAGCAGCGCCAGGTGCATCTATTGAGTGGGGTAACAAGGACTTGTGGTGCCATACTGGTGACGTTTGTGCACTCCACCACACTGTGGTGCGCAAGGACATTTTGTCTTTGGCGAGGACAAAGACTCGAGCGGCGCCACCGTGTGGACTTTGGAAAACTACCGGTATCGTGAGTCAAACCGG